AAAAAAACCAAAATGGAACAAAAACGGCCTGTTACGGGATTAATCGGTTTTCAATGCACTGTAGGTCAATGGAGACTTGACCTACAGACTTTTTGACTTGAGAACCACCTTCCAATACGGATTAAGTTCTCAAGTCAAGACCCCACTGTAGTACTTTTTTTGTTATGTTGCAACAGGTTCAATTGAAGACTATTATAAAACCAAAACAAAATGAATTTTTAACTTTGAGATGAATCAAAGAAGTGTTTTCCCCTCAGTTATTAAGACAGTTATTTCTCTCTCAATCAATGTATCATTTTAAAATACAGAAGAGTTGTAAATTGCTTTGCTTTCTATGGTGGTTCAGAGTCTATACATTCAGGCATGCATTTAATTTCATTTCTATATCACCTAATTAGGGAAAATACACTATTCTGTGTAGAATCTGCTAAGAGGAAATAACCAAATAGATAATAACATGACAGAACTGTAAAAACAAAAACTTCTTAAGAAACCTGAACTTTCAACCTGAACAGTTGAAAGAATGTATAGAAAAGTTCCGTATTTTTTGCTCCATAAGATGCACTCCCCCCAAAAAAAGCGGGGGGGGGAGTCTGTGCGTCTTATTGAGAGAAGCTGGCGATTTTGCCCCCGCTGGCCACGTGGGGGGGGCACCCCACTGGCCCCATGGAGGGAGCCTCATAAGGGTCCGAGTGAGCCTTCCAGGACCCTTGCGAGGCTCCCCCCACCCCCCACAGGGCCAGCGGGGGTGAAGTCGCCTGCTTCTAGGACCTTTTCTGAGCGTTTCAAGCTTCAGAAAAGGTCCTAGAAGCTGGCAATTTTGCCCCCGCTAGCCCCATGGGGGGTGGGGGGTGTCTCTAAAGGGTCCTGGAACACACCCTAGGACCCTTTGGAGGCTCAGAAAAGGTCCTGGAAGCTGGCGATTTTGCTTTCAACTGTTAATTCACAATAACCAGAATCAGTTGAAAGAATGTATGCAAAATATTACCATATTTTTTGCTCCATAAGACGCTCCAAATTTTTAGGAGAAGAAAACAGGAAAATAATAATCTGTTTTCTTCTCCTAAAAATTTGGTGAGCCTTATGGAGAGGTCCGTCTTATGGAACACACCCTAGGACCCTTTGGAGGCTCACCCTGCCGCCCCGGGGGCCAGAGGGGGCGAAATCGCCACCTTCAGGGACTCTTCTGAAGCTTCCCAAGCCTCAAAAGAGTCCCACAAGGTGGAGAGACAAACAATATTTTGGAAAGTATGAACTAGGAAACCCAGAGAGGTGGCTCTGAATTTCAGCTCCTGACTGGAACTTATCACAGACAAAACTTGGACTGCTAAGCTAGTAAAGTAAAGATAAAGGTTCCCCTTGACATTTAATCCAGTCGTATCCGACTCTAGGGGGAGGTGCTCATCCCTGTTTCCAAGCCACAGAGCCAGCGTTTGTCCGTAGACAGTTTCTGTGGTCATGTGGCCAGCGTGACTAGACATGGAATGCTGTTACCTTCCCACCTTGGTGGTACCTATTTATCTACTCGCATTTGCATGCTTTCGAACTGCTGGGTTGGCAGGAGCTGGGACAAGTGACGGGAGCTCACTTCGTCACATGGATTTGATCTTATGACTGCTGGTCTTCCGACCTTGCAGAATAGAGGCTTCTGAGGTTTAACCCACAGCACCACCGCATCCCTATAGGCTAGTAGTACATAGTAATTTATCAAACATAAGCAGTTTATAGCCAAAAGCACAGCATCTTAGATAATTCTTTTATTATATTCCTCTGCTTTTGTTCTGCTTTCCCCCCCAAGCATCATGTAGAGTCTCTGATTAAAACTGTAAATTTCCCCTTCCTCCTGCAAGCAAGGGAGTGAGAAAGAAATAACATATTTGGAGGGAGGAAGGACGAACACATGTGAAGGAGAAAGACAGCACCTCCATTTCTGACATCTATGTGAAATTTCCTCCATTTCTTCCGCCTACACTGTTTCTCAGAGCCTCACATGAATGTTTTACTGGGTGATGTTTCCCACCCCATTATATCTGAAGAAGTGGGCTAGTTTCAATGAAAACTTACATTAAAATATAACAGTCTTTAAGGTGCCACAATGTTTTTATCTATTTTTATTTGGTTTCCCCTGATATATTGTATGTGAAAAGCTGTGTGCTAAGAGATAAACTGAGATAAGGTTGAAGAATGTAACTGAACAGTCAGGGGGAGACACACATATGAAGCATCCATTCTCTATTCTTCCATCAGGGGGAGACACACATATGAAGCATCCCTTCTCTATTCTTCCACATCTTCTAGCTGTTTTGTAACCTCAGCAAAACAGCTAGAAGATGGCCCACTAGGAACTGCTGTAACTCAAAAAGTCTGTAAGTCAAGCCATCTGTAAGTCAAGGGTCCACTGTAGGCCCACTAGGATGGCCCACTAGGAACTACTGGCTCTGCTAGTCCATTATCTCATCACTAAGAGATAGAGAGTACCGTATATAACTACCACTGAAACTTGGTGGTATGGGGAGGGCATCCCTCTTTGGTAATTCACAGAATAGTCATATCTCAGTCCTTGGGTGAAACTGGTCAGCAGGAACAACATAACGCAAAATGAAAATGTGGTTTGAGGAGACTGAACTTCACATTCGACTAGTTCTGGATAAGACCTGGAGTAGCAGGTGCATAGTCTAGGGCTAGTTTCAGATTCATCTCTGTCACTAGACACCCAGATAAACTAGGCCATTTTGGGTGCCTGGGCCAGTTTCTGTTTGCTCACCAGTTGCAACCATTCCTGGACATGGATAATCTGGCTAAAATAGTTCATGCAGATGTAACTTCCCATTTAAACTACTGCAGTGCTCTCTAAATTGGGCTGCTCTTGAAGATGACACAAATGGTATAGTGACTGAAGTATGTGGCAGCTAAACTCCTACCCATAACACCTTTTAGAACCATATGATATCTGTTCTACAAAAACTGCATGGGCTGCAATATGCTTCTGGTCTGAGTCCAAGGTGTTGTCAATGACTTTCTAACCTTGGATGCTTGGTGAAGATTAGCTAAATAGAGAGGCAATGGCTTGGTCTCCAATCCTTCAGTTTGATGTTTTTTCTTTTCTTTTCTTTTTCATTACATTTTTCTATACTATTTTTAAAATGCTTTAATTATTCTAAAGTACTACATAATTTAATGTGTTTTTATTGATTTTACTCCACCCTGAGATGTGTTTATATAGGGCAGAATAGAAATACATTAATAAATAACCAAATAAATAGTGTGTGCATACAAAAAATCAATCATGGCAACACCCAAGAATAATTTCCAACTATGACTCGCTGTCTAAAACAGTTCAAAAAATTTTAAAAAACTCTTAATGATCACATTCCTATACTGGTTGAATTCCAACTTCTTTAGAATACCTTATATAGTCCTATTTTTCAAGAACATTTTAAATATACAAATAAGATTTTTTGCAATACTTACTGCTAAGATGTCTGCCTCCACAGGCAATAGGTTTAAAAAAACAAAGAGCTGAACTGTGAGGATGGTGTAAATCTGAGTGGCAGACAACATTAACATTCCTATTGACAGCAGCATTTTAATTAAATTCCTACAAGATAAAAATAAAAGGAAATTAAGATATACAGCATATGTTTACACCATGAACTAATAGATACATGTAGGCACTACAGCACATGATGTTATTTGGGCATATATCATTACAACAGCATCAGCAAGAAGCGAATTTAATATCCAGTATGGCAAATAGACTGCAAGTATTTCTCTCTCTCTCCATTTACCATATGACTAAAACCTAAATCCAGTAACTACCTGGATGTGCAATACAATATACTTAAGAATTGGGTGATGGAATCAGAGACCTAGTGATAAGGAAAGCAAATGCATTGTTTTCATAAGCCAAAACCCTATTACTGATTTAGGCTTGAATAAGGGAAACTGCGTAAGTCTTGGCTGAAAACTGCTGCTTATTAACAAGATGCTGGTTGTGTTACTGGGCATACATACATAAAAATGCAACCAGCATATGTGAATAAGGGAAACTGCGTAAGTCTTGGCTGAAAACTGCTGCTTATTAACAAGATGCTGGTTGTGTTACTGGGCATACATAGAAATGCAACCAGCATATTTTAATAAGTGGCAATTCACTAAAACTCATGTGATTTCCCTCAATAATAATTATGCATCATCAAGTTGATTCTGACATGGTGACCCTTTTCAGGGTTTTTTAGGTACACTCAGAAGTATGTCATTGTAGCTACCAACATGAATTTGACCCAACTCCAGGAGGCAGTGGAAGACAGGAGGGCCTGACGTGCTCTGGTCCACGGGGTCATGAAGAGTCAGACACAACTTAACGACTAAACAACAACTCAGAAGTAGTTTATCATTCCCTTCTTCTGTGAGTGCCCTGTATAGCTTCCCTAAGGCTACACAGACTGATTCTTTTTTTTCTTGAGAGGCACACTGCAGAGCTGTAAATCAGCAATAGGATTCTGGCCATTTTGTTATTAAGGATGCCATCATGATCCCCATTCCTTCACATGCAGCCATAATAAAAATCATGTGGCATCAAATCAATTCCGACTTATGCCAATCCTTTTCAGGATCTTCCAGGTATAGAATACTCAGAAATTGTTTACCATTCCCTTCTTCTGGGGAACAGCCTTGGACGCTGCAGATTGCCCACGGCTACACAGGCTGGCTCTACTTGCAGGAGGCACAGTGGGGAATTGTACTCCCAGCCTCTGGCTCTTAAGGCTACACAGACTGATTCTTTTTTTTCCTGAGAGGCACACTGCAGAGCTGTAAATCAGCAATAGGATTCTGGCCATTTTGTTATTAAGGATGCCATCATGATCCCCATTCCTTCACATGCAGCCATAATAAAAATCATGTGGCATCAAATCAATTCTGACTTATGCCAATCCTTTTCAGGGTCTTCCAGGTATAGAATACTCAGAAATACAGTAGTTTAACATTCCCTTCTTCTGGGGAACAGCCTTGGACGCTGCAGATTGCCCACGGCTACACAGGCTGGCTCTACTTGCAGGAGGCACAGTGGGGAATTGTACTCCCAGCCTCTGGCTCTGCAGCCAGATACCTAAACCACTGGACAAGCAGAGAGATAATATGAGTGTGATCCTTCATACACAGTTATACTGGAGTGGGATTTGTAAGGGCCATTCTATCACAGTTTTTTAAAATTACAACAAAGCTGTTTTTTTCAGTCCAGTGGCTTTTTGGGGGGGAAAAGGCTAAAAGCAGCATTACACAAAGAAACCTTTTTTACCTTGTTAAAATGCAAGAATCACTTATTTGCATTTATAGCTCATGTGTGTGTGTATACTGCTTAAGATTACAGAAACTTGCAACAAGATTTTCCAGATTGTCAAGCCAATTATTCTATGCACAGAACAAGATGACTTGCAAACCAAATTCATCAAGCAATTTACAAGCTCTGGCAATCAAATGTATCCCTCCATCTTTCTGCGTATGAATTCAATCTTCTGGACACTGGTTTACTGGATGACACCTACTTCAGTAACATAATTAGCAACTAGAAATAACTTTTTTTTTCCAACTGAAAAAAAACACACAAGACAGGAGTGGAGCTACAGAGAAAGGCATTACAAAACTTACAAGCCCTTGACTGGATTATGCTCACACACCAGAGATTCTCCACCCTGCTCTCCACAGACCTCTTCCAACAGCATGCATGTGCCCTTCCTTGGGCCACACTTAATTTTACTTTAATATGACTGAATATGATTTAAAAAGGTCCTACACTCATACAACGTGGTGGCGCTGTGGATTAAACCACAGAAGCCTCTATGCTGCAAGGTCGGAAGACCAGCAGTCATATGATCAAATCCACGCAATGGAGTGAGCTCCCGTCACTTGTCCCAGCTCCTGCTAACCTAGCAGTTCGAAAGCATGCAAATGCGAGTAGATAAATAGTTACCACCACAGTGGGAAGGTAACGATGTTCCGTGTCTACACATACTGGCCACGTGACCAAGGAAACTGTCTTCGGAGAAACACTGGCTCTACAGCTTGGAAACGGGGATAAGCACCGCCCCCTAGAGTTGGACAAGACTGGATTAAATGTCAAGGGGAACCTTTACACTCATATAAGAAACACAAGGTCTTACCATTCCTAGGCCAAGGAAGAATTCTTACATGCCCCACTGAAAGGAATCATGCACAATGTTTGTAACACTAAAGGAATCCTGTCTTCTATTTTCTAATATAGAAGTGTGATAGATTACTTCCCAATACTGTACACCTTTTTCCAATGACAAAAGAGAGGACTACAGCTTTCAGAACCTACACAGGAAACCAGGTACCTCTCTGTTTCTCATATAGGCCATAAGCTCTGAAAAGTAGAGCACACCAAGTAGATAAACTGTAAAACAGTTTAGAATATATCCCAAACAGCTGGCAAATGAGGTTGCAGCTAACTGCTGTATAACCAGTTAGATAACTTTGGTCACAGAATTTTTCTAAGCATCTATAAAAAGGAATCTGCATAGATCTCTAGTACAGGTCAGCCTATCACAACTCTCATAGTAAAAACATAAGCTAACTTAGGTGCTTTTCATATATTAAGCAGTAGCAAAGCCCAAATTTATCTTTGAGAAATCCAATGGACTAGGAGTCACAACCTGCCCCTCCACCAAGCAAATCTTATAATTCAAACATTTACAAAATACAGTAATTTTCAAGTATAAACTTAAATCATCTCAGGCTGCAGTTTTAAGGACTCTTAAAGTGAGAAAGTCTCACTTAAGCCAATAAATTTACTTCTGAGTAAATGGAAAGCATTTAACTGATTATTAATTTGGTGCTATTTGTGCTCAAGTGCATGTGCTCAGGAATGTAACCTGCAAAGATTTTGTTAATTAGTGGCATTCTGATACTGCAATTTATATATTTTCACTTACACAAATATAAATTGTTAGTTGAATTCTGGCCAATGTGTATAGAATCCAGAGATAGGCAATAATTTTATTAGGATCTGCTGTACAAAATTACATTCAAATGTTTGCTGTAAATGGCTGTTTCTGACAGATGAGTTCCACAGTGAAGGACAGCCATGCTCCTTCTATCTTCCTACAAAATGTTAAGAAACTTTAATCTGGAAGGGCCAACTGTTGCCCTCCAAATGTTGTTGGACTCCCCCATCATTGCCTAAGAATGACAGGAGCAGCAGTGTAAAATATCTGGAAGATCAAAGTTGCCCACCCCTCATTTAAGAGTAGTATAGTTGAGGCCAAGGATGGTATCTTCCCCCAAGACTTTTCATGCCAGATACAGTTTCCAGCAATGAGCTTGCTTGCCCAGGATAGCAACTGTCCATATGCAATAACATATGGTAAAAGATCACTACAGACAAGCCAGAAGTACACTGAATATATATATATATATCTCACAGCAATAAGACACATTTAAATTCTAGTGGCTACTCAACCTTAATGGAGATACTGCCATTCAAATTATAAATCCTGGCTTTAAAAGGCTTTAACAAGCTTTACCCACCAGCATGGAGCTGCTTTGCTCATATTCTGCTCCTCCTTTTGTACTTGGAAGAGAACAAATTACCCATCCTTGCATGCTGCATCTGAGCTAAGAAGCATGGTTAATGGCTTCCAGACAAGTCATGTTTCAAAAGCCAGCTTCAAACTATAGCTTAAAGCTTGTTTGCAAGCTATTAATCAGAACTTTCCACCCCAGATATAAGGAGAGCAAAGCAAGCAGCAAAGAGTCTGCATGGAAAGTGCACAAAACTGATGCAAGCTCTGACTTATTAAATCACGTTTTGATCTTTCAAACCAGGCCAATGAGAACAACAGAATGGAGTGCTACACCTGTTGTATGTATGATTTTCTTCCTCACTAGTCGCTCAAGCCAGGGCAAGCACATGGAAGCAGGAAGACAATTAGCAAGAGATGTGAAAAGGAAGAAGAGGAAACCTTTGAATAGGTAAACAGAAGCAAGGTAATTACGTCTACTACTTGAATAGTTAATTACAAGATTGCACTATAATAATAATCTTAATTCAGAATGGAAATCCAAAGACTTAGAGCTGCCATTCTCAATGGGGCCCTGAAACATTTGAAGGGGGCCATAGACTGAAAAAAATGTGAGAAGGGGATTTTCTATTAATCTGTTTGTGTTGTATTCTTGTTTGACAGGAGGCCCTGGAATCTGAGAAGAACTCCTTAAAAGGGCTGCGACCAAAGAAGGCTGAGAATAGCTGCTTTTTAGAGAATACATCTATACTATAATATTTTTCAGCATTAATTCACCAAGTAACCCTCCAAGACTTAACAATTACTACTATGAACAAATCTCCAATTCATATTTTATCAACAATCAATTCATTACAAGGCTTTCAATAAATTCCTATTCTTTATCCCCACAGTTAATGAGAACAATGCTGACCTATACAATAGAAGATCACTTTTATATTATAGTGTATGTAGAGCTGTTTTCAACACTCAGAAAGCATTATGTAAGCGCCAAACTGTCATTTTTCAGGTTGCTGAAGCCTCAGAAATCAGGTTTAACAGTCAAGAACCAAGAACT